CTGCCGCCCTCCCTGGGAGAAACCTGCTGAACACTGTCCTTCCTGTGCTCCCGGGGCAGGTCTCAGCTGTTCATGCACCTCAGCCAACGACGCCCAATCCAACAGTCATCAGAACCCTTTCCTTGCTGGCTGCACCGGTGACTTCTGTTCACAGCACCACATCTGCTCCCGTTCCTTCCGTTTTTTCTGGCCACGTTCCACTGCCAGGTCCTTCTGCCACCCCTACCCCAGCCCCTCAGGCCGCATCTACACCTCGGGCCACCCCTGCTTCCAGCGAAACATTTGCTTCTACTTCTGCCCCTTTCACTAGCCTCCCCTTTGCCGCCACCTCTACTGCCGCTTCTACCAACAACCTCGATTCCTCCTCACTGGCATCGGTTTTTGCTGGTCTCCCCTTGACCTTAACACCGACCTCCCAAGGTGTGTCCAACCCGACTCCTTCTGTAATCGCCTGCGGTTCTGCTCCCACTGTTGCCTGTCCACTGGGTGTAAATAATCCCCTTCTGTCTGCTTTAAAAGGCTTTCTGACATCAAATGATACCAACCTCATCAACTCTTCCACGTTACCCTGCGCCGTTACTAGTGGGCTGGCTTCCCTCGCCTCCCTCACTAACCAGAGCTCCGACTCTGCGGCGGCCGCCCTTAACAAGGGCTACGGCCCGCAGCGGGCTTCCACGCCGGGACTGGCTCTGTTCCCGGGCCTGCCCTCGCCGGCAGCCAACGCGGCTTCCACGCCCCCGGCTCTGCCTGCGCCCGCCGCCGCTGCCTCCTCGGGGCCCGCCGGCTGCGGCTCCTCGGCCACCCTGCTGCACGGCCCACTCGCGAGTCACGCAGACGCGCCCGGTTCGTCGACGCCCGCCGCCACCAGCCTGCCCGTAGTGATCAAGACCGAGCCCGCGAGCCCCACTCCTTCTGCCTTCAGGGGCCCGGCGCCCCCGCCGCCCCCCACCCCCGCTCCGGGCGCACTGGGCCTGCCGGGGGCGCTGGGGCGGGTGTACACGGCAGCCTCGGTGCCGGTCAGTTTACCGTCCTGCCTCGCCCCTGCGCTGCCGGGCCTCCCGGGCCTGAGCGCGACCCCGAGCGGCTCGAGCCCTCTGCCCTCCCTCCCGCTGCCTGCGCACGGCTCCGCCGCGCCCATCGCCCCCGTCTTCAGCGCCTTGCCCCCTTTCACTTCGCTGAGCAGCGGCTTCGCCCAGGCTGCCCACCCGTCCCTCGGCGCCCCCGCCTCGTCCGCACCCACCTGCGCCCCCGGCCCCTCGGCGCCCGCCTCGGCGGCGGCCTTCCCACTCAGCCTGCCCACTGCCGTGCCCTCGCTCTTCTCCGTGGCGCAGGGACCTCTTCCGGCCTCGGCTCCCTCCTACCCCGGCTTCTCCGTCTCCGGTGCGGCCCCCGCGCTGCCCTCGTTCCCGGGGCTGCAGCCGCCCGCCACTGGCGCCGCCACCGCCCCGTCGCCTGCTCCCGTCCTCCCCGGGTTCGCCTCCGCCTTTAGTTCCAGTTTCAACTCCGCTCTGGTTGCGCAAGCCGGGTAGGTGGATGGTCTGGAGGGGAAAGCATCCTTCACCTAACTCGTTCATGCTCTTGTTTTGAAGTCGTTCAGATGAAAATCGGCATCCAGTTGTTTGGTGGCGTGAAATTGTTTTTCTGGGTCGGCATTTAGGTGCTCGAAAAATGTTTTATGTTAAGATAAATACATAAAATAACAATGCCTGCTCAGATAATTTTTGGATTTGTATTTGGTAATTTATCTTGATTTTAAAACGGCAAACAAACTCACTGAATTGAGAATAATACACTTTATAATGGAAAGCTTTATATCAGTGAGTGGCTGACTTTTATGGTTCCAACAGGGAATAGATTTTTTTTTTTTAACATCTTAAGATAGTATTTGACAAATATAGAAGCACTAGCTTTTATGTCTTATCTGCACTTTTTCTAAAATTTATTTATTTGACTGTATTGGGTCTTTGTTGCTACACTCGGGCTTTCTCTAATTCTGACGAGCGGGGGCCGCTCTTCCTTGCGGTGCGGGGGCTTCTCATTGCGGTGGCTTCACGTTTTGGAGCACCAGGTCTAGGTGCGTGGGCTTCAGTAGTTGCGGCACGCGGGCTCGGTAGTTGTGGCGCGCAGGCTCTAGAGCACAGGCTCAGTAGTTATGGCACA